GGAGGAGCTGAGACCTCCATGGTTTGATGGCCATTTCAGACTCTTAGGATCCAGTAGCGGTTAAGAACATGCCATCAGATCCAGACCTAGATTGTCTCAATCTCGTGCCATGAGTCTCCCACCCATTTAGAATTGTGATGAAAATTTTTAATATAATCTGTCAAATTGGCTTACACACAACTGCAGTGCTCATCCCAACAAGTGCCCTCCTCAATGTCCATCACCCATTTTCCCTTTTCCTGATAAATTTTTTATATGATTTCTTCACCTGTCTTTTCCCAACCGTATTTATTTCATAAGACTATAAGACTGATAACATGGGGTATTATCAGGCTCTTTCCTAAAAAGACTCAGCTCCTTTTTTTTTTTTTTTTAAATGTTTTATTTATTTCTAGGAGAGAGAGAGAGACAGCGTGAGCAGGGGAGGGTCAGAGAGAGAGGGAGTCACAGACTGAAACAGGCTCCAGGCTCTGAGCCGGCAGTCAGCACAGAGCCCGACGCGGGGCTCGAACCCACAAACCGCGAGATCATGACCTAAGTGAAAGTCGGACGCTTAACCGACTAAGCCACCCAGGCGCCCCTACTTTTTAATAAAAAATATATTTTCAGCCACCCCTTATCTGTGAGGATCAATGGGTTTACCCGGCAGTTGCACGGCACCTTCTTTTGAGATTCTGCAGCATTCTGCAGAAGTAACTCTTTTGATTTCATTAGACTTTCTCTGCTTGCAAATCTCACAGTTATGGTTGGGGACTGGAAGCATCAGCACTGGCCAGTGCATTGAAATTTACAAGCCCTAATCAACGATTTGGAAATCAGGGCTGGAGCCTAGATATACTGAAGGGCATTGCCACACTTGAAATACAGGGGATCCAAGGTCAGGAGGGCTGGGCTGGGGTGGGGAAAGTAGTGGAGCAGAGGGATATCAGTGGTGGAGCAGGATGGGCAGATGGTGGGGAGGCCTGAGTGCTACCAGCACGGGGCTATGAGGTGCTGGCGACAAGGTTCCCCGGTGAATGTTAAGCTTATCTGTGCCCTGTGGGACTGACAGTGTGGGGTGTGAGGGAACTGCAGGTACCATTGTGGGAACTTAGGGTGGTTCCATTTGCTAATAGGCTCAGCCAGTTACATCTGATAGCACCGTTCCTCACCTCCAGCTCTCGTCATCTGACAGGGGAGAAGACTATGGCTCAGGAAGGTGATGTGAACTTCTAAAATCTCAGTTACCTCATGGAAGAGTCAGCACTTGGACCCAGACTTCTTGACTCCTGTTGGGCTACTTAGGAAAGAAAGAAGCTAGAAATTCTCAGGCAGTTTGACTAACATTCATAGAATGGTGCAATGGACAGTGTGCAGGTTTGATGTCAGACTTGGCTGTGGTCAACTTCTATTCTATCACCTACAGCCCTAGGATAGTGTGTAGGAGAAAAAAAAATTCATTGATATTTAATTTTATCTTCTGACATTCTGTCCTACCACTTACAGCCCTGGGATAGTATGTAGAAGAAAATTCAATGATATTTAATTTATCACCTGAGAAGATATTTTTCTGTCTCATGTAATGATGAAACAGCATGGGACATAGTAAAGCACTGAAGTTATACATACAAAGGGACCAATTATATGGATATACAATTTCCTCTACCAGTTCCAACAACTTCTTTGACAAGAACCCTCAACAGCTGGCATCTAAGAGACTGAGATTGAGAAACACTGATCATCCATAAGTGACTTCTCAGTTCCATTTAACAACTTCTGAAAGGGAGAAGTATACTGGGTAGTAAAACATAGGAGGTTGTTCAACATTAGCAGTGGTCAAACTAATATAAATTTTTAAAAGTGAGATGAAATTTAGCAAAAAATAAATCCTGATATCCATTACTGGCTAGGGTGAAAGTGGTAACCTACATTTTGGTGTTAGTTATGTAAATTGGGGACTTTTTGGTGAGAGATATCCAAAGTCTTTATAATATCTATACCTCTCAGTTTAGTATATACATCTGAGAAATTATCCTAGGGACCTAGAAATGATGTAATGCATGATGAAGTTTTCTGTGGTATTAGAAAAAAAATGGACTTATTATTAGATACATCTACTTGAACAGAATAATAGTCAATCATTAAAAACAGTGCTTTATAATGATATGGGAAATATTTAAGTTATTCAATCAGGATAATATATTAAACATATGGTGTGATTTCAAAGATATCAATGAAAAGTGAACAAAATCTGTAGATGGAAGGAAGAATAAAAGAAAAATAGAAAGTTGGTAAGTTTTTCTTTTTGGATGGTAGTACTCAGTAATTTTTTCTCCTCTAAATATTTTCTAAACTGTGTCTCATCACCATAGGTTATGTTTGCAATTACTTTCCCCTCCTTTTCCTAAGATGATCTGCTGATACCAAGCCTAGACAAAAACTTGGAGCTAGCAACTTTGTCTTTCCTTCTGTTTCTTTTGTCCACTCCATGAGTGAGTAATCTGGGTTCTGAAGAGCACGTGATGAGAGAGGGACAGACTGGGGAGTTAGACGACATGGGATTTGTGTTCAGTCTCCCACAACCTAACTTCTGTGAGTTGGGTTTGCTCTTTAATACCTCTAGATCAAAATGTTGGCATCTGAAAGCCAAAGATGTTTGTACCAGTTTATCATACAAAAACACCCAATCCTTAATGGCTTTTTAGCCAAAAAAAAAAAAAAAAAAAAAAAGTACTCTATAGTCCATAAATGGATAAAATCCTTATTTGGCTTTTGAACTCAGGTCACTTAGGATTGGGGGAAGTTTCCAAATCAGAGAAGACATTATTAAACATTTTTTTCCCCTGCAGGAACTTTCTTTAACTTTATCCAGGAATTCAATATATGCATCATTCAAAGCAGTGGAAGGAGGACCAGATGATGCAGAAGGATGGACCAGATGACATGTTATAAGAATACTATTGGCTCTATTAAGTTACCATGTTAGAATGTAATTAACTCTGGTAAGAAGCTATCAATCTCTTTAGATCCAGGTATTGTAAGTTTCCTATACTATTTGAGGGGTTTTTTTTGTTTTTGTTTTTTTTTTATTCATTCAGCACATAGTCATTGACAACTGTTCTAGGTCTGGCAATAATGATATTAAACCCAAAGAATCTTCTTTCAAGATACTCTAAGTGTAGGGTAGGAATACAATACAATACAATATAGTGGAGGGAGACCAATACAATATAGTGTGTGCAGAGAGCTAGGATAGAGATGCAATCTGGGTGCTGTAGGAATACAGTGAAAGCCCTGATAGTCTAGCCTGGGTTGGGGGAAGAGACCATCTTCCTTGTGGAGATAATATCTGAGCCTATTTTTGGAGGATGTATGGGACTAAGCCAGTGGGATTAGGAAAGACTGGAGGAATAGCATGTGGATGACAATGAGGTGTTAGTGACTATGACTTGATCAGGGAATTTAGAATAGTTTCATATGGATAAAGCACATGGTAGTGAACAAGGATGGATAACATGATAGGTTAATAAGATCTAGGGACTTGTAATGAGACTAAAATGCTTAGATTTTATCTTAAAGGTAAAGGGAGCCTTTGGAGGATATGATTGAATGAATGGATTTTGTATACAATACTGGATGCAGTGTTGATTGAGCAGGTGTCATGAGATGATTGAGGCAGGAGAGAGATAATGTTGTTGGAGCAACCACCAGATTGTTTTGCGAATTGATCTCAGGCTAGTGCTGAGAACTGTGGTTGGGGCATGGTAGGTGCTCAAAATGTTTTTGGAATAAATAAATGGATGGATGGATGAAAGTTAAGGTGTCACAGACTCTGAGTCTGGAGTTCTCTCTTGCCCAACAAGAGAGTGCATACAGAATTAATTGCAAGAGAGGCTAATGTCCGGAGGAGACCCGAGCCCCAATAAGTGTCCTTGCTCTGTTTTTATTAGTATCAGAAGGCTTACAAGCATGATGGACATACAGAAAGAGACAATGAATCCATGAACATTAACTCATGTGTGTGAGAGAAAGGAGGTTTCGAAGATATCTGGTGTCAGGGTTGTGGGTCAGTACAAAACAAAATCCCAGCACTGGGCAGATGGCTGTTTAACTCGGGCACCAGGCACTACCTATGTTTATCTTATCTTGCCTAGGGGATAAGACAGAAGAGCATGCTATCTCAGGGTCAGCAAGGCACCTTTCTTTTGCTAACTAGCTCCACTCTCCTGCTGTGGTCTATAGCCCTGTTTACCTGTTTACCTATACTGCTCCTTCCCTCCTTTAAAGCACCTTTCTGCTTTTGTACTATGTTGGGGGCACTTCTGCCCTGTTTACCTAATCTTGGATGCTTTCATCCTAAAACTTGTTAACCCATTGGTGTGAGCTCAGGAAATTCCTAAACTTATTCCCTACATTAAGGAATAAGACTTGATAAGGTGTGGTGACTAATTTTGCATTTATGAGGTAGACTAGTAAAGGAAGAAGTCAAGGATGCTTGACTTCCATGTTTGTGGTGTGTGGTGGAAGAAATACAGAAGGACGATCAAGAATTGAGTTGGGCTTGAGATGAGGAAATCAGTTTTTGAAGAGATGTCCATGTGCATTGAGAAGTACAAATGGGAGTTGGAAGAGTAGCTCTGAAAAAGCAACTGTAAATTGTTATCCCGCAAGTGGTTATTTTTAGTGAACTAAAATTAATATAATAATTTTTATTACAAAAAAATTCCATGAATATATTTTCAAAACAGAGTTCATTCTTATTGGTTAAAATGCAAGAGAGGTAATATTTTGGGAGTTGTTTATTTTATCTGCTATTTAACTTTGTACTCTGTCAAAACTATTAATTAGAAAATGATTTGCATCATTAACAGGTTCTTTCTTTGGGATACAGGGTTTGGGATAATGCTATTCCACAAACACTGATTTCCCCCAACTTAAAAAAAATGTCTCGAAAGTGGTAGTAATAAGTTTTTCTTGGTAAATCTCTTCTCACCCAAGTCCTTGCTGTAGCTCATGGATTCATGGATAGTCCACGAAACATCACAGAATTTTTCATGCTGGGACTCTCGCAAAACTCCGACGTACAGAGAGTTTTATTTGTGTTCTTTCTGATTGTCTACCTTGTCTCTGTTGGGGGTAACCTACTTATCATGATCACCGTTATCTTCAGTCCCACCTTGGACTCTCCTATGTACTTTTTCCTCTCATGTTTGTCCTTTATTGATACTTGCTATTCCTCTTGTATGACCCCCAAGCTCATTGTGGACTCCTTGTATGAGGGGAGAGCCATCTCTTTTGAATGATGTCTGATTCAATTCTTTGTTGCCCATTTATTGGGAGGAACTGAAATCATCCTGCTCACGGTCATGGCCTATGACCGCTACGTGGCCATCTGCAAGCCCCTGCACTACACGACCATCATGACCAGGCATCTCTGTGCCCTGCTGGTGGGGGTGGCTTGGCTTGGGGGCTTCCTGCATTCACTGGTCCAGCTCCTCCTGGTCCTTCAGCTGCCCTTCTGTGGGCCTAATGTGATCAATCACTTTGTCTGTGACCTGTACCCCTTGCTGGAACTCGCCTGCACCAACACATACGTCATTGGCGTGCTGGTGGTGGCCAACAGCGGTGTGATCTGCCTGCTGAACTTCCTCATGCTGGTTGCCTCCTACGTTGTCATCCTGCACTCCTTGAGGCACCATGGCGCCGAGGGGAGACGCAAAGCCCTCTCCACCTGTGGGGCCCACTTCACTGTAGTTGCCCTGTTCTTTGTGCCTTGTATATTTATTTACATGCGGCCATCATCTACTTTGTCCATAGATAAAATAGTGGCTGTGTTTTATTGTATTTTGACACCCATGTTCAATCCCCTGATTTATACACTGAGAAATGCAGAGGTGAAAAATGCCATGAAAAATCTATGGAAAAAATGAGCAATTGTGGATAGAGGATACAGGTACAGTAAGGAAAGAAATAACTATTCATTCTCAGCAAAAATTCATATTTTCATGATGAGAGCTGAGAGACTATTAAAAAATTTCAGAGTAAAATGGATTTGAATGTTTGAAATTATATCTAATCTAACCATGTCCTATGACTCTGGCCAGACAAGTTATTACACACAACTTCAATTTCTTTTTAACAGTTTACACTGCATTGCAGGACATGCAAACACCATCTCTCCCTCACCTTGGTCTGAGATGGAGGCTTCATCCCAGCCTGGGGTACTAAGAGTCTGTGATGAGTAGAACCTCCTGTTGAAATATTCCTAACCTGGTCCTCCAACTCTGCACATGAGAATGTTGACCAGAATAGTTACTGATGGTTCACCTACACCTGATTCTATCAACAATTTGTTTTGAAATTTTACTGAAATATAGTTTAATGTGATTTTATTCCATTTAAAAACATTCTGCCATTTTAAAATATATTTATTTTGAGAGAGAGAAAGATAGAGTGTGAGTGGGGGAGGGGCAGAGAGGGGAGACAGAGGATCCCAAGCAGGTTCTGTGCTCAAACCCAGGAGCTCTGTGATCATGACCTGAGCTGAAATCAAGATGCTTCACTGAGCCATCCATGTGCCCCCTCCCATTTTGATAAACTTACAAAATTGCCACTTATTTTCCTTCTGTTAGTCCACTGTATAAATATACCAACATTTTAAAAATACATTGTTAATTATGGACATTTAAGTTGTTAACAGTTTTATGCTGTTAACAAATAGCTCTATTAACCTTCTTGGTGATGTATCTTCCAGCACACTGCTACATAACTTTCTCTTAGGTTTATACCTAGGAATAGGGATTCTGGGTCATAGGTTATGTGTATATTTATGCATATCCAGTGTATACTTTGGAAAATTGTTATACATGTCTGCCAGTAGCATATGAGAGGTACCGTTCCTCCATATTGACAACAAACACTCCATATTGACTGTCCTTTTAATTTTAGGTATGTAGGGAGAGCATTGCAGTGGTATTTTATTGTGGTTCTTTTTTTTATTTTTTTAATAGTTTATTTATTTTTGAGACAGAGAGAGACAGAACATGAGTGGGGGAGGGCAGAGAGAGAGGAAGACACAGAATCTGAAACAGGCTCCAGGCTCTGAATTGTCAGCACAGAGCCTGATGCAGGGCTCGAACCCACGATCCATGAGATCTGACCTGAGCCGAAGTCGGACGCTTAACCAACTGAGCCACCCAGGCGCCCCTGTGGTTCTATATCCTATTTCTCAGATGATACAAGAGGGGAACCCTACTCCCTAAGATGTTTACTGGCCATTGGATACTTCTTTGTGGAAGTACTCTCCCAGTCTCATGTGATTGTTTTTATCTTATTGATTTGTAAGAGTTCTTTATATTTTCTACATCAATCCTAGTTCTCTAAGAATCAGAAGCTAAGACAGAGTTGAAGTGCAAGAGATTTACTGGGTGAAACCCTGCTGAGGGAATGTGGGAGGGGCCATCCAGAATTATACAGCTCCTGCTGCTGTGAAGGAGAGCAGAGGAAAGGAAGGAAAGAACCTCATGGACTCCGATGTAGTTCTGGAAAACAAGACCCATGGAGTTCTTGACCTAAAACAGGACTAGAGACTGGGAGTGGGGGAAGGGAGTTTTGAAAAAGTGAAGTGAAGGTTTTATTTTTATTAAAATTCTTTAAAGTTTATTTTTGAGAGAGACAGTGCATGAGTTAGGGAAGGGGAGAGAGAGAAGGAGACACAGAATTCAAAGCAGGCTCCAGGCTCAGAGATGTAAGCACAGAGGCGGGGTGGGGCACAAACCCATGAATCGTGAGATCATGACCTAAGTGGAAGTCTGACACTTAACTGACTGAGCCACCCAGACACCCCTTTATTTATTTATTTATTTATTCATAATAATTTACATTTATTTATTTATTTTGAGAGAGAGAGTGTGTGTGTGTGCGCGCATGCATGCCCTCCCCACCCCCCTCCACACCTGTGCATGAGCAGGGGGAGAGGGGGAGAGAGAATCCCAAGCAGCCTCCACACTATCAGCATTGAGCTCGTTGCATGGCTTGAACTCATGAACTGTGAGATCATGACCTGAGCTGAGATCAAGTGTCAGATACTTAACCGAGTGAGCCACCCAGGTGCCCCAAAAGTGAAGGTTTTAAATGGTCCTTGAGGAAAACTGGGAAAATGTGTCCATGAGCCTTTCAAAGGTGGTGACATGGATTTATAGTGGACTAAACTCTCCCTGTTTTGTGACCCTTGATAGAAGCTTTCGGGAAACTGGTTGAGGGACGGCTTAGAATAGGATTCATTCAGTCCTGGGAAATGCTGACTTCATGCCGAGCCTGCAAGAGTGCTGGGCGGGTACAAGGTTACAGATGTTATGGAGGAAACTTTGCCGCGTACATCAGTAAGTATCCTACACGTTCACCTCTGTCAGTATGTATCAGCATTAAAAATATATAAGATGAACCCCACAGTTCCATTTATTAGATTTTGATTTGGTGCTTCTGTTCGTTTACGCCCCTGCTTGGTTTTGGAGGTGGCTACTGCTCCATGTAGAATCTAAGCTCCACGCTGTCAAATACAGTGTCTGTCTCTCTCCCCATGGATTCCTGACAGTTAGCAAAGTACTATCTTTTACCAGGTGGGCCCGATAAAACATCCTTACTGAATGATTGAAACGGTGGATGTACAATTCTGATTCATGTCATTTTGATCTTTCGGCATACCTTGGCACACCACAGAGGAGAGGCATGGATAAAGGACAGTGATACTCTTCTCTCAGCTTTAAGGGAGGAGATGAAAGGCCTCCCCCTCTGAGCACAGAAGATGCTCAATAAATACTGTTCATTTCTGTTGATGTTGTTCAGTCAACGATTTCTTTAAAGACGCTGACCCTCCAGTGTCCGTTCCTAAAATATCCTAACTCCCCTTTCTTCCTGACAATTTATAGTTTCCCTCTTGAGACACTAGAAGGATACTGGGCACTTGTAAGAGGCACAATAGAAGTCACTTCCTTGTGAGACCAAAATTGTAGTCAGGGGACTAATTAAATGATGGCATCAATGTTGTTGTGACCTGTGAATGAGGCTCAAACTCCAGCGGAGGTCCTGTGAGGGAGATTTAGCCTCCCATAGAGAAGCAGAGAGCACATGGCACTGACAGTCCCTGTGCTGTCACTCCCGGTCCCCTTATAGAAACTCTGTTCAGTGGAAGGAGAAAGCTTCTCTTGGAGACTCTGCTGGTGACTATCCTTAGCAGAAAGCAGAACTAATGAACCAGCTCCTCTTTCCGAAGAAGGCAGACCATGGAAAGCAATGGTTGAATTGGAAAGGGCATAGACGGGGTGATGTGTGACCTGGGTTCCAGCCACACCTCTGTCATGGGTCACCCATGTGACCTTGGCTCTGTGCATCTAATCTCTCTGAGTCTGAAATTCACCATCTTTAAAATAGACAATTGGAAACAATGATTTTAAATGCCATCAGGTTGTTAAGGGAAATGGATGACAGAACAAATTCCCAGCTGCTTGTAAATAGATGGCCATCTTTTGTCTTTTCAGTTTGTACTATTCTAAGAAACCTTCAGGGGCATCTGGGTGGCTCAGTTGGTTGAGCGTCTGATTTTGGTTTAAGTCATGACCTCACAGCTTGTGAGTTCAAGCCCCAAATCCAGCTCTCTGCTGTCATCTCAGAGCCTGCCTCAGATCCTCAGCCCTTCCCCACCCCCTCTCTCAAAAATACATAAACATTAAGTAAAAAGAAACTGTCAGTTTAGATGATTTTTGGTAATTGACAGCACCTGCCTCATCTGTGCTTTGCCTCAATGGATGAAACCATTCTAATCTCATCCAGAAGTTTAATCACATGAAACAGCAAAATTTGGGAGATATGTTGGAGGTGGTCTGGATGATCTTTTAAGAACTCTTCCAGATCCACCTTTCCATGATATTAGGTGGTAAATACAAAGCACAGCACAACACCTGGAGTCCTGTTGTCCTCAGATCCAGTCAATGTAAGTTTCTGTAATCTTTTTTTAAAACTAAAGAAAAAAATGCAACTCAAAACTGGTGGAATAATTAAACAGGAGACTTAGTTTTTCTGGCTAGCTTTTAAAAAATAATTTTTGGGCCGCCTGGGTGGCTCAGTTGGTTAAGCATCCGACTTTGGCTCAGGTCATGATCTCACGGTTGGTTGGTTTGAGCCCCGCGTCGGGCCTGCTGCAGATTCTGTATCTCCCTCTCTCTCTCTCTGACCCTCCCCTGCTCTCTCTCTCTCTCTCTCTCAGAAATAAATAAAACATTAAAAATTAAAAAAAAAATTTTTTGTATTTCCACAAGACACAGAGATGAATCAGCCTTACATTTTTATTTTTGGGCTAAATCCTGTGCTATTCATATAGATTTGAATTTTCTCTATTGTGTTCTGTATGAAGATCAGCATTAGATCATTTAAAAAATGTTTATAATATTATAGTTTTGAATATAATTAGTTATATTCAATATAACCAATTTCGTTTTGAATATATCCACTTACGTCCTTGGTTCTTTAAGCCACATAAAGAGTTTGTTGTCCATGGTGTTAATGATGGTGATTCTAGAGATGCCACTTATTGAATGTGTATCACATCCAGGCTTTGTACAAACACCTGGCATGCCCCGTTATCATTTACTACGCTCTGCAACCTCAAGGTGTAGCAGTTCTTTTATTTTCATTTTATAGATTAGAACATTCAGGCTTTGAGAAGTTGTTCACCGACACCCCTGTCTGTGCTCTTGACCATCATGTTTTACTCTGAAAAGGTCCCCATCGGACTTGTCACTCACAGAAGCAACCTTTGTCTTTTTGCACTAAAACTGAAAGAGAAAAAAAGGAGGGCAACTTCCTGATCAATAGAGGAGTCTTCTCCCCAGTATTTCTTATATCTGGGTGTCTCTTCCTCTGACACTTAAACATT